GGGGGGGGGGGGGGGGGGGGGGATGGATGCAAAGGATGATTACTAGCCTCGATCTACAAAGCAATGCTGGGTTCTTTGTACAAAACATGACTGACCTCACCGGTCTCATCATTCTTTGTGAGTCCATGACACTCCGGACTTCTGTGTACAGCTGATTATCAAGTAGCCAGCCAACAGTTTCAGTGACCACCACAACCTTTTGCGCCCAAGTATTAAACTTTCAACGACCGATATTGATAATAACATTGCAGATGCCCTGATAATTTTTAAGAGGGGTATGTGCCTTCCATACAGAGATTCTTAGGACGGGACGGTAAATATTTTTCTATAACAATCTTCCCATCCTTTTGTGGTATGCAATTTTTCGTTATTTGAAGCCCTACTCTGGCTCTTGTCAGGGGCCGCAATATAGCCTGGCTGAACGCGGTTTCTGGGACCTCTCCACTGTGATCCTCATGCACATGGTGGTACTTTGTGTCATCGAGTGTTTATCGCTTGTGTGATGTCCCGATGAGGTAGAAAGTCAGTCAGACCATTGCACAGAGAACCATGTATAGACAAATAATCTCGGATGGGAAGGAATTTAACTGCACGAGAATGTTCAGATTTAACGGGATTGCGCGAGATGGCCAAATATTCTTCTGCTGATTGTTTCCTGCTGTAAATTACCGCGTAAAGTTCTGGTTGTTCGCCTACATCTTGTTCCAGGACTAGGGTTTTGCGTGCACACTCGTGCTACAGATCTGGCTTACTTGAATGCAGATTTTTGGTTCCTCGCCTTTCTGGCAGATGCACCCCGACTTCGAAAAAGACACCCCTAATTAGTCGCATGAGTTTGAGGGGTGGGGGTTGGGAGGAGTCAGTACGTCTATTTTTTGTTTTCCCCAATATTGGGCACCGGGACCCGAACAATACAATTCACTCTGAATTAAAAAAAAAAAAATTCTGGTGTTTCCAAGTCATTGAAACTTAAAACGGGTACTTAAAAAAAGTCCCGGGAAGCTGGGGCGAAGGATGAGGCATAGAACACGAGTACCCATTGATTTACAAAAATATGAAAACCACGAGTACCCATTTGTTTACAAAAATATGAAACTTTTTCTGGTATCGCAGCCTCAAAGATGGACATTCAAGTCTCAAGGATTCACAATTCCAATACAAATGGAACAGGAAAAACTTTCAGAAACCTTCCCCCACCCCCCCCCCCTTTTTTGGGTCTATTTTCTCCTCTACTACTTCTGGTTTCGATGGAGATATAAAGTTCTGTTTTTTTTTTCCTCTTCTGGTCCCCACCTCCATATACATATCGTGATGTTTTTCTAGAGTTCTCCTGTTATCTATTTATCTCGTTCATATTTTCATATGAATGCAACAAGCTTTATTGATAAAATACAACTGCTGTGTGAAAGACAGGTGTTTGGAAGGGCCGAATGTAAGACGGGTCTTTGTGCCCAATTTGTGACCCTTAGAAAATCAAGATCGTTCTTCCCTTCTGTGCACTACATCCTTCTCAACTTTTGATGTATGCCGTGTGCTGTATGGCGTCAGGAGGTATTCTCTCTCAGTGGGCAAACCATCGGATTTGCTGTCTTTTAAGTAATTTAGAATTGATGCTTTGCCGGTCTTTTCTTTTAATGATCTCATTCCCGATGTTATTATCTCTCGTCATCCTATTAATTTTGGGACACTTTTAAAGGAGGTGTCCACTAATGCAAAGCTTTTCTTTTATTGTAGCCTTTGAAAATGTGCAGTATGAATTATTATTATACTATGCGCCATTTTGTCTCGGCACCCCACCCATTATGGTGAGGATATGTGGAGCACTGGGAGACTAATTTGCGTTTTCTGATTTACCTTTCCTTTTACCACCTGGTCTGCAGAAAAATTTAACACAGTGAGTTGAGTTGAGAATTGACATCACAACCCGCGGGGCATTCCCATAGGCGCTCCGTCCCCATCCTCAGCAGCCAGTGCAGAATTCCAATACTAACGGTGCCAGTCGTAATCTGGTTGTATGTCCGTCTTGCCTTTTCTCTGAGCGAAGTGTGTATGACGAATCCTCTTGTCACACCCAGGTGCATCACTTTCTCCAGCCCATAATAATCTAGCTTCTCTTGTGACTTCGTTTCTTGTTCCAAAGGGCTCTGACCACATTTAAAACAATGAGTTTTAAACCATGTTATAAATGACTCTGCACTTTGGCTTTTCTCGTGTGCTTTAAACTGACGACTTGAATTCATTAATAAATGACAGTGTGGGTGTTGCAGGTGCATTAGCCATAACAACAAGAAGCCGAACATAATATTTTTCTGGACACCCGAAGCGGTAAAAGAGGAACTGAAGAAGATTGTAGAAAAAAAAAGGACTTTATGAGGAGCTATCAAGGGAGATAACTACAATGCGTTGTGTTACAGCACTTCCTGGTTCCCTTGATTTCACCTTTTCTGTTTCCTTTTCCGTTTTGGAGCGCATAGCGTAATCATGGTAAGTGAAATGTTCAAAGCATAATCTTGTTAAAGCCTTTACATCTGAATTTTGCGTGTAAAAATGGTACATATATTTAGTTAAATTATAAGTAATGTGAACACTTAATATAGATTTATAATGTGTAAGACGACAACACTTAATTTTAATGTAATATGGAGACCATATCGACAATAGGTTTTACATGATTTTCTTGTAACATTGTTTTCCCTCTATCTCGTAATTGCATCGCGTGAAAAACAGTGTGTAATCTGTTTCTGGACCCTAAAGTATAAAATACGTTTTGGATTTAATTGCTAGTAAAATTATCAGAACACCCTGTGAATTTTAAATTAGAGGATTTCAGAAGTTTCTTGAAGTTGAAGTGGTGACAAATCTCCGGTGGTGTTTTGTTGCTCGACATTTGTATGATAGTAATTAGTTTGTACACTGAATAGTCTTATTTTGAAAGCCAGCAGCGCTGTCTGAGTAATAATTCACCACTTTACAACACTTAGTAGTAGTAAAGGAAAACATAAAATTCCTAAAAAGTCCACATGGGTTTTCCATACTTCGTGTAATAAATATTAGGTTCAGTTTTTTTCGTCTAATAAACACTTTATTACTTTATGGCAAAGTGAATTTAGAACAGTGCAGGAGCATGCAATGGTACTTTAGTCAAATTTTTAAAATGCCCTTTACACAAGCACAGTTAGATAGCTGTAAACAATCTCTTTCCAATGGTACCTCATTTACGCTTGTATGTCATTTCTAAGCTGAGATATGTAGGTTTTTGTGGAGATGAGATGTAAAAAAACAGCTGCTAAAATTGTCTCCCAGAAACAAGGTTTTCTCTGCGCAACTAAACTGCGCAACTTTCGTTTTGGCTTTGTTTGCATTTAACAGCGATTGTCTGAAAAATGTCACTGTACATCTACCTAGCCACGAACCAGAAAGAAATTGTATACACAAATGTAAAATTGGACGGAGAATTCAATTATTATAACTAGCATTACCATGTACAGTAACAGTTAAAGCCAACCCTGAATACTTGGCGCTATTTTCAATCAAAATGATGTAACAGAAAAACAGGACCTCCGGCTATCTTAGACATGCACTGTTAATCGGGTTCCTTCCCGCCGTTTTCAGCTTTTTATAGTGGATGAAAATTACACCAACTGAAAAATTTCATGAGGGATTGGGACCCATCCCGAAACCCCAGCTGACATTTGCGAAGCAAGTTTCGATTTCCAAGGTAACGGAAATTGCCAAAAGACCGCCAATTGCCGAACACCGCAGTCGCTACATACATTATGACCCAGTATTCAGGGGTTCTTTTATTTTAAACGACCACATCACGCGAGATTTAAGAAAATTTCATATGTATATTGGTAGAGGGGGGGGGGGGTGTAAGTAGTAGTCGCCATTAACACAAACGCTATTCTCACTATGTTTTATGGAATACCCCTAAATCTCACATGATGAGGTCATTAAACAGAAAAGAACCTTTTCAGGTCAGATCAGACACTAAGCCATGTGGTCACACAAAAACCCTAACATTTACCGGTCTGAATTCAGGATGACTAGCAGGTGACTGTTCTCTGCACAGTGATAATTCTAGCTTACTTTGAAGATACTTTTTTTTACAAGTTTGTAAATATCTTTATTTGTTTGAAGATGCTTGTACTTCTAGTTTCCTGTTATCTTTAAGAGTAAGTAAATGTAGAAGACTTGACATTAATGAAAATGTATCTGAATCATGACGTCAACGAACAGAAAACATTTGAAATTGTCAAAAGGTATCATTTCATTCAGTGAAAATAAATGATTGTTAAAACAGTATGCCTTCAGGCTGCAAAGCCTAAAGTAGGACTTTTCTGAAACCCAAGTAAATTATAAACTTCTACCTTGATGATGCAGATGCTGTTCAATTTAAACAAATTACTATAAAGTACTTCAAATGTTAGTCTGTTGAATTTAGTTTAAAAGTGTGTTAGCTTCATAACTTAGGTTAGTTGCATATCCTTTACAGGACATTGCAGAACCAACCTCGACATCCCCTGGCTGTTTTGTGGTTTTTAAGGCAAATTTACATCTAGTTTGCCATTACTTCCTGTACGGTAGGCTTTCTTGATATCGCTGTCAAAACCAACGCAAGGCGCATGGCAATTAGCTGGGGTCGAACTCTGCATTACGAAATGTTCGCATCAACTTAGCCACAGAACCGATGCTTTAAAACTACTACACACTATAATATGCAGCTATTTTGTCTAGTAATTTATTTCGAATTCAGCTGTGATAAGCTGGATAGATTTACTAGCAGTGAGCTTGCCTTGTTGGCATAACCAAAGCAGTGAATTTCATTCTTTCAATGATCACACGTTATTTCAAAATATTTGCGCTACACTTTGACCAGATGATTGTTTTATAACTTAACGTTATTTCCACATTTACTGTTTAATTCAAACTTAAATGGGAAAACTGCATGTGAATGATCCAAGAATTCTGGTCTAATGTAATTTTAGACAGTGACTTAGATGGTCCACTTATATGCAAGACTATCTTATTTTTTATCACAGTATAATTAATTTGTGCGTATATCTTTTTCAGGCTGACAGCGTAGCAACAGTTAGAACAAGAAAGTACATGACCAACAGACTGCTTAGCAGGAGGCAGATGGTGAGTATGTTTTACAAGTCACTCATAATGCAGAATTGTGGAATACCTAGACGCTAAAATCTGCAGCTGTACATAATAAGTATATATAGATAAGAAACCCAGCTCACTACCCAAAGGTTTATAGATCTCCACAACCCGTCAGTTCAACATTTTTGCAATCCCTGTGGGCACCTAATATAACTTATCCTTCTAGGACAGGGTTTATGATTGTCACTATGTGACTTCATTATGCAGTCATAGTGCGGGGAAAACAGACCCACATAAACATGCATACATAGGTCTCACCACCTGTCAGCTCGGATTTGAAACAGGAGACCTGTTGTTGTTGCTGTTGAAATGCAGATGTTTATGGGCTGACATGTCTGAAATTTATTATCAGCCCTGCACCTAGATGTTGCTGGTTTCCTCATTATTAAGGTTTGATGGGATCTTATCTAGTCTTTAAAACATCTAAATTATGGCTCATTAGATAACTGGTGTCTAGCAATATTGAGTAGAACAAAAATGGAATAACCACACACTTTGTAGAACCTGCACTCAGTAAGGTAACTTGAAAAATGTGGATTATAGTTAAAAAAAAAAGTATTGTCAGCTAATATCTCCTAGAAGGTATTGGCATGGCTGCAGTAGCATCTGTCCTAGTTTTATATATTTTCTGGTGCTAATGGTTTAAATTATTACTTTCCAGGTGGTTGATGTGCTTCACCCTGGCAGGGCCACTCTCCCTAAGACAGAAATCAGGGAAAAGCTCGCCAAGTTGTACAAAGTCACCGCTGATGTTGTCTTTTGCTTTGGGTTCAGGACAAATTTTGGAGGTGGTAAAACTACTGGATTTGCATTGATTTATGACACCTTGGACAAGGCCAAGAAGTTTGAGCCTAAATACAGACTGGCTAGAGTAAGTTCTAAATGCCTTTTGTAATATATAGTTTATATATATATATATATATATAATATGTTTATTTTTCATCCCATGAGTGATAGTTGGCACTTGTTTCAAAATGTGCATCTCATAACAAGTGGGAAGCATCAACACACTGTTGCAAAATTTGCAGGACATGACGATAATATAGATAAACCCTGGACAAGAGTATTGTGTATTTATAGCCCAGTTGGGTTACCCTGGATTAGTTTTTTAGAGGCAAGCCTAGAAAAAAAGGACACTACAAATACTATTTTATTTCCCAAGGAACGAGTAACGAAAAAGGCAGACCTCGTCAACAGTTGCTGGATAAGTTGCATGTATTGGTTGAAAGGTGTAGATATTTTAGCCATGCTGTAAGCAGGCACAGTGCAGTCACGTCATATGGGTAAACAATGACGTATCACTTGTTACCAGGTCTTTCTGTCACATTTACTAATTATTCATGTTATTTAACTGATTAACACTATAGCATGCGGTTGCAACTCATAAGTGCTCCGTTCTACTTCTAACTTGCCTTGAGTCTGAAGAATCTCAGCAAAGTGCAGAAAACATACCATTGAACAAAGATGTGAGGAAGTGTCGGACTAAAACCTAAACAGCAAAGATATAAAGGCAACAGCCCTCAGCGAGAAGAGAACCTCTAAAACTAAATAATTTAAGATGTCATGTGACTCATTGCGAGGTGGATAAATGTAGAGTGAAGTGAGCTTTGTTTGGTGGTGATAAAACTAAAACTGCAATGTAAAAATAGTTTATTTAAATGATGATTTATTTTTACAGCATGGATTGCTAGAAATCAAGAGAACAGGCAGAAAGCAGAGAAAGGAAAGAAAGAACAGGCAAAAGAAAGTTAGAGGAACCGCCAAGACTAAAGTCGGTTCTGGCAAGGAGAAGAAGGTAATTGTCTGTTTCAGAATTATACTTATTCCTGTTTCCTAGATGTTGGGCTTTGAGTTATTGTTGTAAGGCTGGTATTCTATTTGACAATTTCATAATTAATTTTCTTTCTTTTTTTAGTTATTGTAGGACTTTTTTAATGAGTGACGGTTTTGCAATGTTGCTTGTATCCTTCCTAATTTGTTCAAGCTCTTCATTCTAGAACTTGCTTACTGGTTAACAGTTTCAGAATATTTTTTTTTACTTCTTAAATTTTCATCTTTATCCTAATATGTTTCAGCTGCTTATTAGTATAAGACTTGCTTACTGTTTGATAGTCTAAACTTATTCTGAAGATCCTATATGTGGGTTTTAGGATCCCCTTGTGGCATAAACTAGAATAGACCAACTACCTTCCCAACAAGCATAGAATATGAGTCAGCTAATTTAAGGCTTCCTTTGAAGTCAGAATGCTATTAAAGAAGGTACTCTTATCATATAAGACAGTAAAAAAAAATATACAAATGTGATGTCTAGAGTAGCTGGGTAAACATCAGCATGTATGAGGCCTACATACATATGGTGTGATGCCTAGAGTGTCTAGGTGAATACAAGAGTGTCCTGTATTTCACCAACATACATGTGGTGTGATGCCTAGAGTGTCTAGGTGAATACAAGAAAGTGTCCTGTATTTCACCAACATACATGTGGTGTGATGCCTAGAGTGTCTAGGTGAATACAAGAAAGTGTCCTGTATTTCACCAACATACATATGGTGTGATGCCTAGAGTGTCTAGGTGAATACAAGAAAGTGTCCTGTATTTCACCAACATACATATGGTGTGATGCCTAGAGTGTCTAGGTGAATACAAGAAAGTGTCCTGTATTTCACCAACATACATGTGGTGTGATGCCTAGAGTGTCTAGGTGAATACAAGAAAGTGTCCTGTATTTCACCAACATACATATAGTGTGATGCCTAGAGTGTCTAGGTGAATACAAGAAAGTGTCCTGTATTTCACCAACATACATGTGGTGTGATGCCTAGAGTGTCTAGGTGAATACAAGAAAGTGTCCTGTATTTCACCAACATACATGTGGTGTGATGCCTAGAGTGTCTAGGTGAATACAAGAAAGTGTCCTGTATTTCACCAACATACATGTGGTGTGATGCCTAGAGTGTCTAGGTGAATACAAGAGTGTCCTGTATTTCACCAACATACATATGGTGTGATGCCTAGTGTCTAGGTGAATACAAGAAAGTGTCCTGTATTTCACCAACATACATGTGGTGTGATGCCTAGAGTGACTGGATAAACACCAGCTGTTGTCCTGTGTATTTTGGCCTACATTCTTGTGGATAAACAGCTTGCAAATAAAAATATTTTGAAGACACAGACTGCGGTTGTAATCAGTATTTTTAATTACTAGTGTGAATGCCATTTCTTTGAGGTAAAAGAAATGCATTTATTGGTGGGAAAAAAAAGAAACAGACAGCATTCATTGTTGATAAAAAGTAAATTACACAGTACACTTTTTTGAGTCTTTCAGGCTCAGTTTTTCCATTGCTACATAAAAATTAAGTAAAGGACCTATTGGATGCACTGGGGATGTATCTATACATCAGATCAGTCAGATGGTTACCAATTTAGACTTGATCTGGGGGCTAACAGCTTTGATTCGAACCCTTGACCTTTGGCAGTAAGTGAGCATCTAGCCATGCGCTACTCAGCGCCCCACACCCTTTAAAGTAATAATTAGTTTTTCTATGTCAGCACTATTGTAATTGCAAGTATTCTAATTGTTTTTTTGTGGGTTTTTCTCTTTTCAGTAATCAGCGGCTGTATTACATCAAGCTATGGTGTATCATTTTTGAGAAATAAACTCCATTATCTGTCACTACTGTTTTATGGTTACTCTTCACTGTGTGCTTATTGTGGACTGTATTTGTTTTCCAGCCTAGCGTGACGTTTTTATGTGCAGGTTGTAAAAATGTCAAGTGATATGTGGGTTTGCTGAAGATGTGCATGATCAAAAGAAACAGATTTCGCAACCTAACTGTAGATTACAACTTGCCAACCACTCTTAGAGGCGGATGCAGTCATATTTTTATGTTGGGCAGTTAAAATGGCACATTGTTTATTAAATAAAATCAGAAGGCAACTACACTTGATCTCTTTAACAGTGTAAAGCATGAGAGCTTAAAATAACTTAACAAAAACAGCAGATGTATCATGGCTTTGCTACATTGTGTCTTGGTTGCAGCGAAGATGCTGGCTTCTTCGGCTACCGCCAACAAAGCACCTCTAACTTTTGGTCACAATTTTTTTTGTTCGCACAGATTACTAAACATTTCATAGTAGTAAAAAAAAAAACAGTATTTTTATCTCACTACACATCATACTCTATAGTCACATTTGTTCACAAATTGTGAATAAATGAATGTAGACACCTTTTGCCTTTCTCTATTTAAACAGATTAAAATGCTGCTAGATTTCATTGTCGATTGTATCTTGTGTAACATTTTAACAATTCTGTGAGGGGTTGTTGCAAGCAATTTAAACATAATGATAAGCATGCACAAAGATATTTGTTTGTGGCAGGTAAGCGCATTAAAAAATCTATCATTTCAGTTTTAGCTCTATCAGCTACTACCAGAACTTTATGGAAAGTGTTAAAAGATCTTAAACCGATGTAAATTTATCACATAAAAATGTCGCTTGTAATATCACCGCACAATACATTGACAATGAATCTTGGTTGTTTTATTTTAAACTTTCTGCTTGGGGAAAATTAGAATCACATCAAAAATATTCCAGCTGGAGGGGAAATCAATTTGTTGTAATACATGAACTATGGCCGTAGGTTGAGGTGCACGAAATGACTACTGAATGTAGATTATTAATTTTTGGAATAGCTAGAGAACCCACTATTTGTCTCATTTCTTTATATATACCATTTTTGAACTAAACTATAAATTGCATGTTCTTGGAATATGTGGACTACCGGAAGGTAATTACTATTACAGGTCAGATGTCATGTCTTTATTGTGTTGTATGATAGCAGTCTTGGTCACCTAATGTTTACCGTTGCGTCCTGAGATTTGAGAATTGCTATATGGAAGGATACCTGCTTAAAAATTAAATGGGTCATCTGTAATGTTATCAATATCTGCCGTTGAAAGTTTAATATAGACACAGCAGGTTGTGGTGGTCACTGAAACTGTTGGATGGCTGCTTGATAATTCGCTCTACACACGTCCGGAATGTCATGGCTCTGTAGATAAAGACTTGTAATCGTCTTTTGAATATTTTTCTCCCGTGCACGTTCGTGTTGGGATTCGAACAAGCAGAGAATGCATCGCCACGGTCAGGACAGAATGTTGCAGATTAATAGTAACAGTAGTCACAACAACGGCAGCAAATTTGAGGTAGCAAAATCAGTAGCAGCAGTGGTAGAAATAAAAGTAGTAGTAGCAGGAGCAGCGTTGACTAAAGTAAAAATAAAATAGGAAAATACGAACGTGCGGACGCGCCCCTTTCTTCATACAAGTGACATAATCCAATCAATTTTATACATAACATTGCTCTTTAAAAGCAGGAGTCCAGCTTTTCAAACATTCATTTTAATTGTTAACGTCTCTGATCCTTTAATTTTAAGCATAAATAATTCAGCAGGAATTCGCTAAAAACTTTACACTGACACACATTAGCCTGCAAGTATTGAAGAAAAATCATTTTACGTCAAGAGCCCTGCCTTTTTATAAGTTGTAACCGTGTTGAAAAGGTTTGCTTCTGTTACTTCTGCTAACAAGTTTATCTCGAGGAGGGGATGTAGCTCCCAAGCTGCACGTCCAAGTCCTTTTAAGAAAAAAAAAGAAAAGCTCGACCACGTTTCCCAAGCTGCACCCCTTATGTTTTCAATAAATAAACGAGTGCGGATGTCCAAGAAAGATCGCTACACAGAAATATATACCGTCCATTTGCTTGTCACCGGACGAAAACTTACTTAGATGACAGTTTCCTCTTTTCCATTTTATCTCTAAAAAAAACAGGCAGACATGTTATGGCAAAATCTCGTCAAAAGTCAATGACCAC